CGGCCGGAGGGGCCCGAGCGGCTGCCGAGCTAGAGCCGGAGCGGGGCGCGGGCGGCTGCGGTCCCGGTGGCGGCGGGGGAAGATGGTGGCGCTGGAGGCGGGAGCGGCTGGAGAGCAGCTTTATTCCCAGGCTTGGCACGGTCGCTGTCACTAGCGCCGCCTGCTCCCGCGGGCCCGCGGACCCAGCTGTCAGGCAAGGTACCACCGCCAGGGCGGGCTGGGTGAGTGCGGGGCGTCCCGACGCCCCGGACTGAGCCCGGTTGCTCTCGGAAGGGCGATCGTGGGAGCGAGGGGTGCTGCGTGGAACAATAGTGCGGATGAACGGGGACAGCAGGCGACATCCAGGGGGCAAAGCCTGGAGCCAGCGAGGCGGGGGAAGGGTGTGTATCAGAGAGATGCCAGGCGTCCGGTGCGCGCTGAGATACCCGGCTTTGAGAAGAGCGGGCCTGATGATAATCATGGCAGGAGCGTGTGTGTGTCTGTGTGTGTCTGTGTGTCTGTGTGATAGCAGTGGGGATGGAGGTGGCGGATCCGAGGTGTAGGGGATGACATTTCCAGGAATCCCCGCTAGGATCCCTCCTCTCTGGCTGACTGATGATGGAAACCGTGAGGTGGGCAGGATGCACTTGGTGTGTGAAGTGTAGAGAGAAGCGGTAGGGTAAGGCCGGGTTTGTAAAACCCCGTGTAAGAGTGAGTAGCGTGCTATTGGATCCACGCTCCCCAAACTGCGCCCCACATCCAGCGATCTGCTTTTCCTGACTTGATGCCACCAGCTAACACTGTGGGAGAGTGTTGGTTATTTCGACCCTGCAAGTCTGAGTACATACAGTTTCTGTTCTGCTTCTGTTCTTGGGCGGCTGGGTGTAGGGATTCTCGCTTCCCCTTTCCGGGACCCCAGAACTCGGGGATGTGGAAATGAGCGTTTTGCTTTGAGGCACATGGATAATGGTTACACCTTTTGAGACTGCCGGTGTCCCTGGTTCTGAAGGGAGCTCTTCTGACACTTTCCAGCTCCTCCTCCGTCGGATCCCTGACTGCCTGACTCTGCAATTTCTATTGTTTATCTCTTGTCTAACCCAAAGAGAAGGGTGTTTAATGGTCACCTTCCTCTCCCCTGCCCGCAACTTTTATCGCCAGACTCTCTTCCACATGTACATCCTGAAAAGCTTTTGACTGAAGGATGGATAGTCTTTGTGTTGCTTCTTTTAGAATGAACTCTGGAGGTGTGTAAGGGGGTGGGGGCCTTTAAAAATAAAAGAAAGAGGTTGGGAGAGAGGTCAAAATGAGGAAAAAGCCCATACCGAGAAATGTTTTACGTTCTTCTTGGGTGTTTTCCCTTGGGAAACGGGATACTTTATTTCTGCTAACACCCATTCTCCCAGCCTTCACAATGGTTAGAAGGTCCATTTAGGAACTGAAATCTCCAGAGACCCATGGTGATAAGATCTCCGGCAACAACGAAGTCCCTGCTTTCCTTCCCAGTGCAGCTCACTCGGAGGAAATTTGGCACATCACCGGCTCTTCGGTGATGTCTAGGAACCAGGACACCAAAAAAACATCCAGAGTCTATAGATGCTTAAATTCCTCTGCGTAATAAAGATAGGGCTGGGTAGAGAGAGGAATTGAGATGGTATATTCATGTATGTCCACTGCAGCTTGGTTCCCTGGAGTCTATATTTCTCCTGCAGTATCCATCAGAGCGAATGCACCTTGATGCTAATAGCCCAGTACTTTATTGAAATCGTGTGAATCGAGTGAGTGGATTAATCTGCTTGGGACACATTTTAGTCATAATATCTTAAATTCTACTGAATTGCTGTCAGAACCCAAATGGGCTGCCCTGGGCCTCTTTCAAAAGCCTGTAATAATCAGGTCTGTACAAATAAACATACAACACATTGAAACCAAAGATTTATTTCCTTTTCTTAAATTTTTAAAAATTTTGCTCTTTGGGCAAAGATTGCATTATCCCATTGGTACACTGAAAATAATAGAACTAAGGCCTACCCACATATGATTTTTTCCTTCTCATTTATCGTTTTAAAAAATTAATGATAATATATGGACCAGGTGCCATGGAAGCTGTCGATATAAAGTAAATTGCCCCATGTCCTTCAAGTCAAGCCTTCTAAAATTTTAATGTGAGGTTGTTGGATCTCACCCAAGATTGAAAGGAGGATTCATAAAAATGAATTTTGAATCTTAGTTCTTTACTTTCTTATTACTTCAGCCATATCTCTTTCTAGTGGATGTAAAAAGTCATATAAGAGGTTTTGGTTTCTTTATAGTTTTTTTAAAAAAACGTTATTTCTGTATTTGCAAGTAAAACCATATATGCAAACATCTTATAAGACAGCTCAAGAATATTAGAAATTTCAAGGTAAATAATAACCTGATTTGAGAAAGGATTGCACAGCATCACAATGGAAAACTTGAAAATTTCTGATTTCCTTTCTCATGTAAATGAGAGGATTTTTCAAATGCCATGCCCTGCTTTTCTAGCGTTTGGCCTGGCGAGGTTAAAGGTACAGCTTGAATCTGTAATTCAAGTTGGTAAATGGCCGTACCTTTCCCTGCAGGCTGCAGCCAGCCATTTGTTTGGCGTGGATGCCCTTTCTTCCCTTAAAGTAGCTTTAATGCCTCTCTCTTCTATTATGAGCTTCTTTTTTAAAAGTTTGGTTTTTTATTTCAGAAGACTTGGAAGTAAAGGACATTTGAAAATTGACCTGTGGGGCCAAAAGGAATAAACCATGGCGCCACGGGGAAATTGGGCTTTTATGCTACAAGAAAGAAGAAATCGAGAGAACGGGACCGGCAGGCCGTGCAAACAGACTTGTCTTTTAATAAGTTGGGTGGTGAAGGAGAGGGTGATACATCACAGGACGGGCACAGCAAAGGGAAGGAAGCCTTACTTCATAAGCCTGGGCTATAAATCAATTCCGAGAAAGGGAGATGTGAGCGGGAGGCTACCGTGATAAAGCCGTCAAGATGGTGGGCCACACCAGGTGGAGGCAGGACTCCTGAGCCGGAAACAGGAACTGAGATGGAAGACAAGGACGGGCAGGTGGAGGCTGGGAGTAGAAGGGCAAGGGCTTGTGGCACTGTGGGAAATGGGCGTGAGTGGATGGCCATCGCCCAGCAAGGAGGGCTTCTCTCTGTGCTTGAGTTTGCAGAGGAAGCACTGAGCCCCAGGCTCTGGAAACTACTTCATTCTTGCAATAGTGAGCACTGAGTATTGCTCAGTTCAGTGGGGGTTCCATCCCTTATTCCCCTGGAAAGAATTTTTACTTTTAAAATTGCCTCCATTTGAAAGCGTTCCTATGAGAACTTTCTCTGGAGGATCTTTGAGTTAAATAAATAAGGTTTATAATAAAATAATGGGGGAAAACAAGGCTTTCTTTTTAAAAAATAAACTTTTCTTATCTATTACAACAAGATATGGCTTTTACAGTGCAGTGTAAAGTTCATTGCTGTAATTTTTTCAAAACTCAATTATAGCACCTTACCCGACACCACACCCGTCGTAAGAATTCAATAGATTTTTTTTGTCACATGAATTCATGAATAAATTAGTTGTTTTAGTGAGTTAAATATAGCCTCTGAGATCTGAAATTTCAGAATTTATTTAAACAATGGATATCCAATGAGTTGAATCCTGTGACCTGTATAAGGTTATGGTAATATAAACCTGATTGTGTCTTCATACCTGCTACTACACTGATCTTGAAAAACAAGGACACTGTTTTCCATAAAATACTCATGTTTGCTTGAGGCCCTTGAGTATGATGATTGCAGATGAGACTATACTACTTTATCTGTAGCTAGTGATCATTTCAAGGCTTGAATGATGAAATTTGGTTGTAGTTTTAACAAATACTTAGCAAACACCCTCTCTGGGCCAGGCTAGCTGAAAGGATAGAGGTAGAGTAGGGAACTTGGAAGACTCCCTAGCACCACAGAGCTTTTAGTGGGAGGGGCCTACAATGAAATAAATAGGTGGCATCATACGTCATGTATGAATAAGAACAAAGTGGCGGGAGAGGGAGAAGGCAGGTGGTTCGGTGGCTGAAGTGCTTCCTGTACAAGCAGGAGGACCAAGGCGTGGCTTTCCAGAACCTACGTGAATGTCAGGTGGGCGTGGTGGCCGACCTGTAATTCCAGCCTCAGAAGACAGGCGGGATTCCCCAGAGCATCCAGAGAGATAAGCCATATCAACAACCTCTGGGTTTGATTAAGAGACCTTGCCTCAAAATAATAAGGTAGAAAAGCAATTGAGGACAAGTCCAACTCCAATCTAGGGCCTCCTCATGCATGCACATACAAGCATGCATACGTGTGCGTACATATCAAACCCACAAACACATGAAAAGAAGGGAAGAGGGGGAAAGAGAATCAGTCAGGCAAGGCAATACAGTGGGGCAGCGTAGGGGGTGATAGCGTTTAGGAAAGCCAGGGAAGACTGTAAACAGACAGAGCTTAAAACTGAGAGGGAATGAGCTGTATCAATGTTTGAGAGAAGGGCTGGAGGTGGGACCATGCTTTGCAAGTTCAAGGGTCAGCAGGGCAGCACGTTTGGGCTCTGTGGTTTACCTGGGACATGGTGTCCCACCTGATTGAAGGAGCAGCCACTTAGAGAAGCATCTGCTTTGCCTTTCAGTAGTAAATCTGTCACCACAAGGCTCAGTCACCATGTACCAAACTGTGCTGACCTGAGAGGCAACACTGGATTTCTGAAATGGTCCATGTCCTCAGCCAAACATGTTAAAGCTAGAAAACCTGGGAGGGACAGTGGGCAGCGATGAGATGCTAGTCTGTCAGAAACAGTCCCTCTGCTTGGAACACTCTGAAGTCTGAATCCTCTCTAAATGTGGTAGTCTCACCTTCCCCGCCCCCCACTTCAAGTCCTATTTGCAAGTGTGAGGTCCTCCAGGCTAGACCTCTGTTTTGTTCTAGTGACTAGACCCCATAACACACAGGACAGCTGTTTGCATTAACAGGAGGTCATTAAGTACTCACTGTCAGTCATTAAATACTGATTCCAATAATCTCACTACCCAGGTATAGGGGGTGAGGGGGGTATGACTCTTCCACTTTGCTTTCTGCAGACAGCTAGCAGCTTTCCAAAGCAGGACAGGAAATCACCATATGACACTGATGTCATTTATGTATTTAGACCCTGGAACAAGGACTTGAGTCCA